GTTGTCTCTGTGGGGATGGTGGGTTCTCCTGTGGGGACTGTAGTTGTCTCTGTGGGGATGGTGAGTTCTCCTGTGGGGACTGTCGTTGTCTCTGTGGGGATGGTGGGTTCTCCTGTGGGGACTGTAGTTGTCTCTGTGGGGATGGTGGGTTCTCCTGTGGAGACTGTAGTTGTCTCTTTAGAGATGGTGGGTTCTTCTGTGGGGACCGTAGTTGTTTCTGTAGGAATGGTGGGTTTTTCTGTGAGGCCAGTGGTTTCAGAAGGGCCAGTGGGGGAAACTGGAGATTTGGCAGGAGGCGCTGTTGGCGCTTGTGCTGCGAAGAAAAAAAAGTCTTTGGCATTTAGTCAAAATCATACCACTACCTTGTTCACTCACATCTAACTGGAGTGGGTGGGCTCAAAGGGGTAACTTATTCACCCCTCTCCTTCTGCTCCCAACCCCCAACCTTCACTCGCTTGACAATCACTCAACAAACACTGCTCCTAATCTATGTCAGGTATCACTCCAGGTACAGGAAACACAAAAGTGAACAGGATATGGGTCCTGCCTTCAGGATTACTAGGTGAGAGGTTCTGGAAGCAGCCACCAGCATGCATGGCACCAAAGCCACATTCACTCAGGCGAGCACCCTGAGGGTGCAGGGGAGGCAGAGGTGGACAGAATGCGGCAAGCAAAGCCAGCTGGATGTGAACTCAGGCACAGAGAGGACTCGCGTGTTATGCGGCTCATATAGAGAAGCCCACAAGGTGGTCACCTCAGGGCACGGCCCCCTTGGGTTCTGTCTTACCTCGACAAATCCCATGATTGACCAAGATGAAATCCATCGCGACAACAAAGGCGGTGCTGCTACCTGTGATGGCCTTAAAAATCAGCTGCAGGCAACCGGGGAGGGAGAAGGAAGAGAGAAGTGGAAATGAATCCCTGGCAACTCAGCGACTCCGCTGAGCAGGAGTCTGTCCTCTGCCAAAATGTCACCTTGTTCGAGCCGCAACAGTCCCATCCCACCCCTTCCCCCTATCCTCGCTACTGCTGAGTACCCCTCTTCTTGGCTCCCTTTCCAGGTACAGGGCCCACCAGCTCTGTCTCTCACCTGCATGGGCTGCTGATGTCCTGAAGAGATGGTGATGGAGGTGTTCTGCCAGTAAGGGCTCTGGGACCCAACGCGGTTCCAGAGAGAAATCGGGGTGCTACCCGCAGGACTGCCCAGCAGGAGCTTAAGTGTAGTGCCTTCTCCAAGGCCATACATGTGGTAAGCAAACTCCACACAGATGTCACCCGGGGCACAGAAGGGCCGGCTCACCAGTCTGACAGACTGCCCCGCCTGGGAGAACTTGTCAGTTTCGAGGTAGATATAGTGATCCCCTAGGAAAGGACGGGCACAGGCAAGATGGGAGAGCTGCCCAGGACAAGTCTCCTGCTGCTGGAGCAACGCCCTGCTTCCCCAGTGGGGATCTGAGCAAGCGCCCAAATTCCCCACATTGTAGCATGTTTTTTCTTTCTGATTCTGCCTTTCTAACTGAAAGCAGGACCAGAAAGAAGGAGACCACAAAACCAAACCAGCAACCTTGATTTCACTGCTGGCTGCACTTGTATCTTTTTATTTTTCTTTGAGATAGTCTTGCTCTGCCACCCAGGCTGACGAGCAGTGATGTGATCATAGCTCACTGCAGCCTCAAACTCCTGGGTTTGAGAGATCCTCCTGCCTCAGTCTCCTGAGTAGCTGGGTCTACAGGTGCGTACCACCACACCTAGCTAATTTTTTTGTAGAGAGGGGGTCTTGCTATGTTGCCCAGGCTGGTCTTGAATTGCCGGCCTCAAGTGAACCTCCTGCCTTGGCCTCCCAAAGTGTTGGGATTACAGGCACGAGCCATCTTGCCCAGTGTAAATGTCTTTTTTTTTTTTTTTTTTTGAGACAGAGTCTCACTCTGTTGCCTGGGCTAGAGTGCCGTAGCATCAGCCTAGCTCACAGCAACCTCAAACTCCTGGGCTCAAACAATCCTTCTGCCTTAGTCTCCCGAGTAGCTGGGACTACAGGCATGTGCCACCATGCCCGACTAATTTTTTATATATATATTTTTAGTTGTCCAGCTAATTTCCTTCTATTTTTTTAGTAGAGACAGGGTCTCGCTCTTGCTCAGGCTGGTCTCGAACTCCTGAGCTCAAACGATCCACCTGCCTCGGCCTCCCAGAGTGTTAAGATTACAGGCGTGAGCCACCAAGCCCGGCCCAGTGTAAATGTCTTAACTGAAAATGAGATTGTAGATTTGGAAGCCTTGGGCTCAATAAAGTGAGATGCCTGAATTTTCTGGGGGCTTCAGTGACCCCAGACCCCTGAGAATCCTTGGCTGACTCTACTCTGCCATCTCCACAGCTTTGGCCATGGCGGTTTCCCAATAAACATCTGCTGGCTGATTTCACCACCTACAACAATCTCCTCCATCAGTCACATCAGTCGGCCCCCATGCCAGGAGCACATTCAGTGATTCACTGGCTTGAGGGGTCCTCACCTTTAGGGAAATCTATGCTTTGAAAGCGTACATTTCTATGTCCCCGTGTCCAGTGTCCGCCATCCGACGATGTCTGGGTCCAGTCACAGAAGGGGTGGTCATCATCTTCAAAGTCACACTTAGGAAAGCTCTCTAGCAGATCAAAACAGGGGACATAAGGAAGCTGGGCCATGCTCTCCATCTCTCCCCCAGCCCAACCCCGATTCTCAGAAGTCTGGGGTTTCCGGGGCTGCTCTCACCTCCACAGGGAGCGATGCTGATGTCATCCACCGCCACAGCTGGCTCTGGGATCTTTCCAAACACGCCCACCACAGTGAACTGAAGAGAGAGGGAGAGTGGGCTGGGGGTGAGCAACAGCCCAAACCCCCAGTGCCCTGATCCAATTTTACTGCATTCAGGGACCCAGGACCCTCATTCCCAGTGCCCAGACCCTGAATCCATTTTGACATCGAGGTGTGCCTGCCACGTGCAAGGAGGTGATCCCTTCCTCCTCTGTACCTGTATCTGTCCCTGTCCTGTGTAATTGACAGAAACAGGCTGCCAGTTGGGTCGGGGTTGTCCTGAGAAGAGAGAGTGTCTCCGGATGCTGCCTGCAATGGGGGGAATTGGAGAAGAGCTTAAGGTGACTGGGAAATGACTTAAAACCTACACCCAGAAGGACGAGTAGCAGAGGGTGTGCTTGGGGAATGTTCCCTCAAATGCAAGCACATCCTTCTCTCACTCTCCTGGCACCTTTATCTATTTTTCCAGAATCCAGTGCCCTCTTAGCCTCCATTTCCACTTCATGGAACAATCCCATACATATCCCAGACTTCTCTAGACCCTGAGGGATGCCCCACAGGGTTAAGCCCACCCTGGGAGATGAGCCCAGATCAATGCAAATCTCACGAATTCTCCACTCTAACCCAAGACTGAAGCATAGACGTGTAGGGCTGCACCAGGAGACTGGCCCCAGAGGATGTAGTGGAAGGAAAGGCTCAGACAGCCGGAGGAGTGGCTCAGGGGGCTCAGGAAGACAGATTTCTGCCTGGGTCTTGCATTCCTGGGGTCCAGGAGCATGTAGTAGCCACCTGCGAAGGGAAAGGCCAGGAAGATGGGGTGGCTGGAATTGGGAGAGTACGGCAGCAGGGATAGGACGCCGGGGAGGCTGGGGACCTGGCCCCGGGAAAGCCCCAACAGCAGCCTAGAATCGGGCAGCGCTGAGGTGCGCCTACACCTGTGCCACAATAGGCTACGACTTTCCCAGAAATGCTTGGGCTGGGTGAGGACTCGGCACCACCAAAGGAAACGTGGGCATCCTCTCAGAAGCAGCAGCCAGAAAACTATGTCCTTTGGCTGCTAACTCTTTAAGTCCCCTAGAGTCATAGCCTCTTCCTTTTCTTGACCCGCTGGGCATAGCTTTAACAGAAACTGGCGAAGGGCGGCGGGTCTCACACAACTGAGCGGGCGGCTCCCCACCCCTCGCCCCCCCCGCAGCTCAGGCAGCCAATCATCTTGGACCTCGCTCCGTGACGCAACTGGTAGCTGGGGGAAGAGCTACGCGGCCGCCGACTCTTGGGAAGCGCGCATGCGCGCCTGCTCCTGCCCCTCCCCCCCGCCCCTCGCCAAGGCTCCAACCCCGCCAGCGCGCTTACCGGGCGAGGAAGGTGGGCGCGGGGTGGGGGGGGTGCCGGGAAGGGGCTGGCAGGGAGGGAGAGAGGAGAGAAGAAAGGAAACGCCGAAGGAAGCAGGGAGGGGAAGGAAAGGAAGCGGGGAGAGGGGGAAAGAGAAAGCAAGGAGTCATAGGAGAAACGGGAGAGGAGACATGGGAGAGAAAGAAGGGAAAGATGAAATTAAAAAACATTTACTGACACTGCTGGGCAGGGGGCGGTGCTGAGTGCTGTGGGTGGGGGGCGGGCCGCAGTGCGGGTTGGGTGCAGCTTCGCAAGGCCTTTCTAGAAGGCCTTTCTAGAAGGTTCTCCCGGCAGAGAGAGCTTGGAGTCCGGCAGACGCCAGTGGGCCAGGGCGAGGGAAAGATGGGGAAGAACGTAGAAAATGTGGACATGATATGGTGGAAGGGAGGAAAGGGACTGAGAAAGCAGAAATATGAAGGGAAAAAGAAGACGTATAAACTCAGAAAGGAAATGAGGGTGCAGGGTCCTCTCTGACCGACAGTGCTTGGCTCAGTGAGGGCTGGAAGTGGGTTGCGTGGAGGTTGAGAAGGGAGGTGAATGCTGTGTGGGAGAGAAAAGGAAGAAGTCAACAGTAGAAAGAAGAGTCCGGCCGAGGGCACAGGGACGTGGCGGAGAGAAGCTAGGCATAGCCATGGAAGGAAAGAAAAGAAAGTTACCTGGATTATCGCAAAAGCCTCCTAAACGCCCCCCCCCGCATCTCCCCTTGCATGTTCCCCTAAGTGGATTCTCGACACAAAAACCAGGTGATCCTTTTAAAGTAAGTCAGATCAAGTCACTCCTTTGCTCCAAGTCCTGCAAAGGCTCCCATTCACACAGGATAAAAGGCACAGTCCTGACAATGGCTTTCAAGGCTCCGCATGAGCTGTCCCTCCTACGGGGGTCTGAGCACATCCTCTTCATCCCAGCCTCCTCTTCATCCCAGCCTCCTGGTGCCTTGCTGTACCTTGAGCCCCTCCCTTGCCAGCAGGCCCGCTGCTACCTCTGGGCCTTTGCACCGGCTGGCCCTTCTGACTGGAATGTTCTTTCCCACCCCAATCTTTTCCTGCCCACTCTCTCACCTCCTTCAAGTTTGTGCTCAGATGTGAACTGAACAAGACCTACCCTATTTACAAGTGACAACCCATCCCCTACCCTTGCAATTGCATTCCCCTTCCCTTGTCCAACTTTTTATTTTTCTAATAGCACTGCTCACCTTATAACTATATGATTTCTTCTTTGTTTCAGTAACTGTCTCCCCCTCACCCCCCACTACTCCTGTTTGTACACTGATGTATCTCAAGTGCCTAGCGCCTGGCACATCATAGGTGATCCCTAAGTATTTCTTGAATGAATGAATGAAGCATGAAAGGTACCAGGGAAAGGAGGTAAGGAGCAGACTGTGTAGGGTCTGCGGGGTAGAGGTTGTGAGGTGGTGGTGGTGGGGAGCTGGCTGGGTGCTTAGAGTTTGATTCCTTCCATGAAACTTGAGCTTATAGAGGCTCAAGGCTGTGGGGGTTCACCCTAGACTGTCCCAGTGCAGTTATTGGAGGGTTTACGGAGGTCTCTAGACCCCAGAAAGTCAGAGGATGGAAATGTGGCTGGTACTCACTGCCAGGGCTAGAGAAGTCATCGTCGGGCCCCACGCCTGGCTTCCCCGATTGTCCTTTCTTCTGGATCCACTTGGCTCCAGAGGCAGTTGGGACCCAGCTCCAGCCACAGAGATCATTTGGAGTGTCAAAGTTGCACATCTGCATCATGCAGACTGAGAGGAAAGAAAGGAAGGGAGGATGTAACTTTCTCTGACAGGAGGCAGCTCAGAAAATGATACCTCAGTCTAGAGTCAGAATTGGTTTCACCGTGTACCATGGTGGGCTTTCAGGCCAGGTGTGGCCCCACTGCCCACTCTCTGTGTTCCTGGCACAGGTCACTTAACCTGCCCAAGCCTCAGTTTCCTCATCTATAAATTGGGAATAATAGTGCCCACCTCATCAGGTTGTAAGTTAAGTCATATGTGTGGATTATCTAGTCCAGTCCCTGTGCTCAGTAAGCATCAATTCCTTTCACCCAGCTTCTGGAATTTTCCTTCCCTTGAATTTGCTCTGCTCAAATCTCTAACATCAGCTTAGAGGACTAATTCTGGATGGATTGGGATGGGGATGGGTAATAGCTAAGGTGACTCAACATCCAGGTTTACCTGGAACTGAGGGCTTCCCAAGATGGGGGATGTTCAGTGCTAAAATAGGGACAGCCCAGGGCAAATGGGGATGGTTGGTGACTCTAGAACAGGCATCACTCCAACTCTATGCTGAAAGAGAACCTCTCTTTAGGTGTGGCTGCTTCGGGAGTCACAGGTGTGGGGGGGGTGGCCACAGAAGGACACAAGCAGCCTGAACTCTGGGGACCACCAGGGTCCTGGTCCCTGTGCTGCTTCTGTACCCTGGACAGTTGTGCAGGAGCAGGGACAGGAGGAGGGGCAAGGACTCACCCCGACTGCAGGAGCCCCGGTGGATAGAGAGGGCATCCAGGGCGATGTCCAGGTAGGCAGTGTTGCCCCTCACTCCCTCAAACATCAGCTGCGGGAGGGCGACAAGGGGGTCTCCAATCCTGTGAGCCTTTTGGCTGGGCCTCCTGTGCCTTTGCATCTGGCTCCGGGTTCCCTTCCCGACTTCAGATGGCCTGGCCCCCATGCCCCCTCCTTGCCACAGCCCCCCAGGCTCCCCAACACCCAGATTCCCACCAGGGCCCCAAGATCTGCCCTTGGCCTCACCTGGGTGGGTAGAGCAAGCCCTGCGGGCACAGTGACAGCAGTGGGCGTCCAAGAAGGGCTCTGGGTGTTCCTGTGTTTCCAGAGCACACTGGGGCGCTGGCCCTGTGCACCCGACAACAGCAGCAGTCGGAGCTGGGAGCCCCACGACAGCCCGAACATGTGGAAGACGAAGCGCACACAGAGGGGCCCTTGCACCCATAGGTAAGGGCTGCGCAGGCGGGCCACTCCGCCCCGGCGGAAGGTGCTCGATACCATGTGCAGGTAGTTGCCCTCTGGGGGAAGCAGGGCCCGGGCTGGTGAGGCCCCGCCACCCCAAGTGCAGGCCCCGCACACCCCCTTCCCTTCTCAGAGCCTGGCATCACTTCCCACTGTCTCTCTTCTTCCAGACCTGCACGTGCCCACCTTCCAGTGGCCTCCCTGCCCACTGTGCTCCCCAAACCTCAGGCTCCCATTGGTCCCCTCACCTCCACTGGGGTATCCCCCAGGGGGCCCAGTGGTGCCAGTGGTGGAGGGCCCGCTAGCTCGAATCCAGTCCCCATCATCTGCAGACACCTGGGACCAGTCACAGAGGGGTTTGGACTCATCCTCGAAATCACACCGGCTTAGGAGGTCTGGGAGGAAAGGGTTGCTGTGAGATTTCGGAGAGGGCAGAGGGCAGAGGGCAGAGGGCAGGCCACAGAGCCAAACTGGGAGATGGAAGTCGGCAGGATTGCTGAGCTTAGAGAAGCCTGCCACTAAGATTTGCGGTCCAGAACAGAGATTTGAGAGAAACTGTTTTAGGGGAAATTCAGGGCTGGGGGGCAGACGGGGTGGGCAGAATGACAAGGTCAGGGATATAAACGAGGGGTCAGCTGGATTCAGCAAGACACGCAGGCTTTGTCTGGGCAGCGTGTTTTGTTGTTTTCATGGCCCATGCCCCGAGGCTACTCCAGGCGGCCACCCCTGGGCCAGGGACTGGTGTTCTGGTGTCAGAACACAGATTTGGAGGAGGAATAGGAGATCTGAGCCCTCCTGGGTTCCAACTCACTGCTGTCCCTGGGGCTTCGAATGACCGGTTTCCAGTCCAGAGGCTTCTGTCTCCTTGGGGGTGGTTTGGAGAAAGCAAAAATGTAACCTTGTTATAGTACCAAGAATTATAAGGCTCAATGATTGTGAACTGAGTGGTTGCTTAAGCATGGTTATTCCTTTCTTTGTGTCTACACTATATCGATGTTTATGCAGTGAACAAATCTTACTTGTCTTTTTTAAGGTTTTCAGAAAGGTCACCTGCAGCCTTCTCACCTGAAGTTCTACCTGTCTCCTAACAAATACCTGCCTTGAGCTGCTCATATCCCCACCGGTTCCCTCTACCCCGTACCCTAGACACTGTGAGCTACTGAGTGTCACAAGAGGAGGAAGCAGTTCCCTGTGTTTACACCCTGGGGGGCTCCCTTTGTCTTTTTTCACTATAGCCCAAGTTTTTCCCCCCCACTGTAGGTTGCCAGGTAGGTGATGGGGTGGCGCTTCCCCAGCTCCACACAACTGAACATATATATAAATGGTAGCAAAGAGATGGCCCTGTCTCTTCTAATCTCACAAATGCCACAGAGAAGCCACTGCCCCTCCCCAGGTAATATGGGCTACACAGAACAGCTCTACAG